GAGCAGGCAGCATTTCATGCCTTGCCCCTGTCCATGCAGTAATTCCTCATTTCCCTCCGGTCTGGCTCATGTCTCCATGCCTTGTCTGGAGTCCCTGCGGTCCCAGCCGAAGGGGTACATGGCAAAGCGAACCCGGCTCTGCGTGGCCCTGCAGCCAGCCCTGGCAGCCTCCGCCCGCAGCCAGCATATCCCCCACTTGCTGTGACTGAGACAGGGAACCTGGTGCTTTTATTAAACTCTTTGCTTCCTGTTTTAAGCTTAATAATAAATTGCATGTCACATTACGGCTGTGTTTATTAAAACCCAGTGGCGTGGGCTCTGCTCTGCAACAGCATTTGAATTATTGAAAGCAACCCCCCTTGGAGACCTATTTGCTGCAAACGCAGGAGGATTTATTTCCATTTTGTTTATCAGATGGCGTAAGTGCTGGGTGGAGGCAGGGAAGTGGTCTTGCTCTTTTTATTTTCCCCTTGAACCAGCACAGCTTAAGGAAGAGGCGTCGTGCAGAGGGCACAAGGGAAAATGCCACCCCTCCAGGGGTGGGGACAGGTTGGGGACAGACATCCCGGGTGTAGCTGGCCACTCTGCCCATCTTGTCTCCTTGGCTCTGGTTGAGTTCCCCAAGCCTGGTTGCTCTGTGTCTCAGTTTACCTGCTTAGCAGAGCGAAGTTACAGCGCTGCCAGTTTCCATCCAGGTGTGACCAGCATTCAGCTCAGGCTGGCTGAGACCCCTGCCAGAAGCCATCCATCTCCCATTAGAGATACTCATGGTGTGGGGACACTGGCAGGGTGGCCACGAGAGGTTTTGACCCTTTTGCAGCCCCGGTTTAAAGCACACCCCCTAGGGCAGCGGCTGAACATCTCCAAGCGCTATCCCATCCCAGCTGTGCCTGCCGCAGCCACCCAAAGCCGGTGTCAAGAGGATGCTCTCTGGCTCCCATGAGCATCCCGAGGGACAGTTTAGCACCTGCACCCCTCGGGATGGCATCGCCCCTCCCAGCAAGGCAGAGCTGCTACCAGGGGGAAGGGAAGGGCATGGAGTAGGCAGGGCTGGATTTGGGGAGTCGGAGAGTTCCAGGGGTGCCCAAGGCCCTGTGTGCCTCCGCCTGCTGCCCAGCACGGTGGCAGGGCTCGGCGTGGCCAGTGGCTTTGCCAGGAGATGGCACTGTTTAGCGGCTAATCGCGCCGGTGGCCCAAATCTGGGCTCTGGGATGACAGGGACAGTGCGTTTTCGCTGATGATGTTTTCGCTGATCTCTATCTTCCAAAACTGGTGAGGCTTCCCTGCAGACCACAAAGCCCTGCAGCTCGGCGGCTGCTCGGGGTCCCTGCTAGCAGGCAAGCTCTGGGCAGCATCAGAGGGTTGCGAGGATGGAGGAGGCACTGAGGATGTCAGGTCGGCAGTCTGGGGAGCACAGCACCCTGGTGTCACCACTGGGTCAGCCATCAATCACCTCGGTGGCCTATTGGGTCGTGATGGTCCCTGGAGAGGTTTGGGAATCTGGATGGTGTCCCTGCACCAGAGGCTGGAGTGGTGGGAAGAGTCAAGGTCCCACTGGCAGCCTGCAGCAGGGGCTGGGTGCAACGCAACTGCAGGTTTCAGGCAGAAAGCAGCTGCTTTGGAGGCTGTTTTACCTGAATTTCCCCCCTAGCATCTAGAACTGTGGGTACTACTAGGGGTGGCCAAAATGCTTGATGGTGGCAGGGCTGTGTCAGCTTGGTGCATTTTCACTCCGGGACTGGGGTCCAGTGGGTCTTTACCCACATGGTTTTGGCTCCATTAACATTTGTCTTCAGGGTCTTTCAGGTGCTGGCAGGACGAGTGCCCTTACTTTGTCCCCAGCCTCATGGTGACCTTCAGTGCCCGGGGAGGTGCCTGCACCCCACACACCCCGGGAGGCCGGGAGGTGTCGGGGCCGGTGCATGTCTGGGGCCAGTGGCCACGTTAGCGCTTTCCAGTCCAGCTGACCCGTCCCTGACGTCAGCCCGACATCTGGGCCGAGCTGCTGCTCTGAGCACAGGCAGGCGGG